CAGAATGGGTCCATTTGTGCATGGAAATATTCCCTTGATCTTTACAGCAACAGTCAGCAGCAGAATCTCAATGAATTAGGTTGGGGGTAGAGGACGGAATGCAATCCACCGCCCTCTCCAAATTAAGCCACGCAGTGGTACGTATAAATGCAGTAATACATACCAAATTGAATATGGATGTTTTTGAAATGCCAGGGCACTGCTATTTAGAACACTTACTACCCTCACAAGAACAAGCCATAAATGTGCCTGCCCCTTTCATTTTCTTATTACAGACGTAATTCTCCAGAAGATATTTATGAAGTATCTGTAATGGAAATTTGCCATTACCTAGGCTGTGCAGGGAAATGGGATCATTATGACTTCAGGAGCGCTACACCAAGAACAAATTTGCCTCATTAAGTCTAATTCAGATGCCCCAGACCATTAAGCAGTATCAACCAAAAGCATTGGCATTTTGTATTAAGGGATTTTGTAGTGCTGGAGAAAACTCCCAAGAGTGACAAGGTGGGCTGTTGTGATGTCACAGAATGCTCACAGAGAAGCAGAGGTTCACATGGGTCACATGAGCCAAAATAGCGCTTGCTCTCACAGCTGGGAAGCCTACTTGCACGTACTGCTGTGTGCTTACCGGATCCGTTCTCACAATCCACCCAACAGAGACATTGGTTGTTGGGTCAGCAGGTGAGTTGGACCAGTGGCCACAAACTATCCTGCCACCCGTGCAGTGAAGGTGTAGACCAGAAGCCTAAGAACAGGCCTACTGTGCTAAGCTAAAGAAGCTCTGGACAACAGAAAGGTGATAAACAGGTCAGTTTTTATAGGGAAGTAGAAATCCATCTGACCACCACCAATGAAAAAGCCGAGTGGGAAGAGATCCCAGGCAATAGGGAAATGAAGGAACAGCCAGCCCAGAGACATGGGTCACTGAGCGAAAGGTGCAAAGAGACAGAAGCCTGAGGATAAAGCAGGTGAAGGAGAAAGAGGCTTAGGAAGAAGTCAAGCACCAATAAGAAAGGAGGCTGGGGAATGGGGACCCAGCATCACTCAGGGCACAAAGGCAGAAATGGCTGTTGACTGAAAGGGAAAACAGGAGCATTCTCCCTTTATCTGACAAGGCGGCTTTCTGAGAGTGCATGTGGACTGTGTTAGAAACTCAAATATATAAGCTAGGTGGCAAATGGCTCCTTAAATCAAGGTTGCAGTCGCCAAAACAGAATGTCTAGGTACCACTTTTTGGCAAGATGACTCTAAAGTCTTATCCTTCAAAAGACGGACTGACTGTGATTGATTCTCAGTTAAACATCTGGCTAGGTCAGATGACAACCTTGATCTAGGTTAAGAGCTTAACTTAAAGAAGAAAAGTCACTTGATCCCGGGACAGTCTACATATATACTGGCCTATTCCAACCTCTTTTTCTTAACAGTGACTGCTCCTGCTCAGGCTGCACAGAAAAAGCATTTTGGTTCCTGAAATTCATTCTGACTGTGCAGATAAAATATAACTGATTGAATTCTACAGGATGGGGTATTAGTGTGTGAAAACAGTCCAGATCCAATGATCCCCAGATGGTGAAGAAGTCAAGCGCCACCCTGGTGACCAGGCATCTTCACTTGGTCGCAAACGGTTGAAAGCTAGGTGCAAAATGCCTGCCTAATTTTGAACACTCTGTGTGGCACAAGGAATTGGCCAGCGTAAGGAGAAAAAGCCTGTTGGAAGGTGTAGGCTTAAGATCAGGGGCCTAAGGAAATGGGTGGTGGAAGAAAGGTGGGACTAAGGAGAAGGGTGTGCAGGGGAAATTCTCCTAGCCTAGGTGTGGGGAATTGTATACAATCATCAGGAAAGGAGGCAAGAATGCTGTGGATGAGGCTTGGGCACCTTGGGCTACAATACCAAGAGGCCACAGGGTTGTCAGACTCCTGTATCATTAAAAGTTAGAGTGGAGTGGATAATTTTTCCACATGGCTTCTCTCATCACAGCTCAGCCATAAGGAGGCAGGAAGAGCCAAGGGACAAGGAAGAGAAGGCTCATGGCGCTGAAATGAATTTCACATAATGATTCGACAAACCAATTCTTTTATCGACAGTCTTTTAAAGTGCGGGTAAGCAGGTGTTTAAGTGTTTGTGGAAAGTAATTGTCAGGATACTTACAAAGGATGGTATTCAACTAAATAACCGAGTGAGTGCAAGGATTACTGCTGTAACAAAATGACTTGTTCTACCCCCAAATACGCTCCAGAGGGTTGGGGGAACTCCCAGAACAGATTTAGGGGTGTGTGGTAGGAGAGGATTTCTCATTCTGTGGCACAATGAGAAATCCTGGTGCTGGTAGAACAATAGCCTGAGTGGTTGTGTTGCATACAACCCACAGAATTTATTTCTGTGGGACTGCTGTGGATCAAAGAGTTTTAGATTTCCCAGCTCCTGGATATCATTTATAGTGGGAGCAGTTTCACTTCTTGCCAGCATTCATTCCAGGTTAGGTAAAGGTAAAGGGACCCCTGACCATTAGGTCCAGTTGTGACCGACTCGGGGGTTGCGGCGCTCATCTCACTTTGTTGGCCGAGGGAGCCGGCGTACAGCTTCCGGGTCATGTGGCCAGCATGACTAAGCCTCTTCTGGCGAACCAGAGCAGTGCACGGAAACACTGTTTACCTTCCCGCCGGAGCGGTACCTATTTATCTACTTGCACGTTGACGTGCTTTCGAACTGCTAGGTGGCAGGAGCAGGGACCGAGCAATGGGAGCTCACCCCATCACGGGGATTCGAACTGCCGACCTTCTGATCGGTAAGTCCTAGGCTCTGTGGTTTAACCCACAGCGCCACCCGTGTCCCTCTCATTCCAGGTTAACAGTTTTTTAAAATGGAGCTTTCATACACTCTAGACTACCCTGAGTTTTCCTTACCATTCATTATTGTTCCTCCAAGGTTCATTATGTTGGGGGGCGGGGCGGACAAAAACACACTTTATTCCCAGGAAAAATACATATATATTTAAAACTTCTATCCTATTGCTTGGTTTATGTAGCAACACCCCCTCCCACACTGGACTTTTCCACATAGATGAATGTAAAAACAAGTATTAATAAATGGTCCTGACCTTTCAGAAGCAGCAATTTTATCAAACTATTCCATCATTATTTTCAAAAAAAATATAAAGACTTTCCACTTATCATTTAGTACCAAAAAGGCAGATTTTGGGCATATAGGCTATTTTTGGAGGGGGATTGGCTATTTACAAAAACTACAGAGACTGCATGTTCTTCAGGGACTATCAGCCTCAAAATCAAAACTAGTGTAAGGGGTTCTGGAGCTTCAGACATACCAGTAAAAACAACCTGTGATTGCACATTATTTGTCCAACCCTAATTAAAGAAATCACGGTCTGAGTGGACTTTTATTCTGGCTATACTAATTGTAGAAATTAATTAAGAGGGGTGTATATTCTGTATGGCTAGAAAAACTCTTAAATTCTTCTAAGCCAGCAGGTTTCAACCTGTTCAGGTATATGGAACATCTTCCTCTCCCTTTCAATATTTTCCTTCTCTAAAATTTCTGCCTTCACCACATTCACCAAAACCAAAATGGTAGTGGAGGCCTAGTTCAGTTGCATTTTTATTTAGGTCCAGCCTCCAGATCCACTAGCAAAACTCATATTCAACCCAATCCAGAAGCAAGAATCTTGTATAATGACACTCTTTTAAAAGATTACCTTAGTCTAAAGAAAGATTATTTATGAAGGCCACTGACACTGTATAACTAAAGCTGTCACAGTCATTGGCTTCCACAATGAGCTAACGCCTATTGTTTGCAAAGCAGAATGGTGCAGTGTTCTTGGACAGGTGTAAGTCAAATCTAACAATCAAGTGGAAAATGAAGATTTGTGTAGTGCAATACTAAACATGCCTGCTCAGAAGTCCCACAGAGTTCAATGAGACTTACTTTCAAAGCAAGCAAAGCTAGGACTGCAGCCTGAATCATGGCTCCTTAGGTCTGAAATAAGCTTAAGAATGATCTAGTGAAGGCACAAAAGCATTCCTCACTGATCAGTCTATGTAAGAAAACAATGAACCTGACAAACATTCAGAAAAGAAGTCTGCAATAAACTTCCAAGGATGCAGGACTGAGTGTGACATGTATTTCAATGGTCTCCCCATCTAAAAACATCCCTGCCCATAGAAAGCCAGCTAAATCCTCTTCCCAAATGTGCTAGCTTTTCTCAAGCATAAAACTTTCTATATAGAATTAAATCATGTAACTCCTCCCACACAAACACACACCTGAATTCTGAAATTCTGTAGTTCTGTGAGAACTGTACCAAGTGCTCTGTTTCATTCTGAATGTTTGAAGGGACTCCAGTGTCACTCCAGGCCTTTTTAAAAAATTTTGTTAAGGGTTGGGGGGAGAGAATTTGATCAGAAGTTAGGATTCTCTAGCCTAGAATATTTGGGTTGGTGCCACTTTTGCCTCTGTGGCCCAAGTCAGCAAATAGTTTTGCCAGAGCAGAGATGCTCTGAGAAGCAAGTGTGAGGGAGGAGCAGTGCTTCACCTTAGCAGCCTGCCAGCAGGTCCCTTCTGCATCTGTTCCAGCTCCCAAATTTATTTCCCCCTTTTTGACAACTGCACAGCCTGTGGCCTTAACTTTGAGGGGCACAATCAGAGGTACTGCCAGCTGCTGATCCTAGGGACCACTCAGAGATAGGTTTAGAAATGCCAGATTGAAAGCATCTTTACACAAGTGATACTTGAATAGGCTTTTGACAGAAGCAAATAAAAAATATATAAAATCCTAGGTTTTCACTGCAAAGACAAATCACACATGAACCAGGATGCCAAACTACTTTAAAAAGGGCATACCTTTTATTTTCAGTCCACTTTAACAAGATTCACAACTGACATGATCTAATTTAAGACTGCATGATTATGCACGCCTATCTAGGAGTAGAACCCACCAAATTCAAAAGGGAGTTTCCATTTTATATGAACAGCATCGGGCTGCAGTGCCATCAAGGAAGACTTACTTCTGAGTTAGCAAGCTTATTGTACAATGCTGTGCATATTTACTCCAAAGTTTCACCAGCACTTAATGGAACTGTTGGTAGTTGGCACAGTTAGGCTGGCAGTACTTGCTTGGAAACAAGTCTGGCTGAAATCAAAGGGGTTTACTTCTTAGTAAGCAAAGCTAGGCTCATTCTACACAAGCCTTTCTTTACTTAAGTGTCCCTCCTTGGAAGTGGGCCCAACTCCTCCCAAACTTTAGTCAGACACATAGGAGGCCTTACCTTGCCCAGGCCCAGCTGGATCTCCGAGGTGTTTGCAAGCTGCTCCTAAGAAACCGGGGGAAGAGAGTTCATTTGCAGTCCCTTAACGTGGCCATGCTCAGGGCCTCGGACCCGGACTCGCCGTGGGTGCCGGAGGAGGTGGATCGCCTCCAGGAGCAGTGCAGGCTGGAGCCCCTCTTGCGGAAGGACGACGTGAAGCGGTAGAAGTTGCTGTGCCTGTTGCGCAGGTACTCGCGGTAGTTCCTGGTGAGTAAGGTGTAGAGGAACGGGTTGATGCAGCTGTTGCTGTAGGTCAGGCAGGTCACCAGGTAATTGATGCACTTCTGGGTGTGGGGCGCTAGTCTGAGGGGCCCGTGGTAGAGGGGCACTAGCTGCCAGATCCAGAAGGGCAGGAAGCAAGCCCAGAAGACCAGCACGATGGTGAAGACCAGGATGAGCACCTTCTGGCGCGGGGAGCGCTTGGGCTCCTTCTTGCGCGGAGGGTTCCTCTGCGACTCCAGGTAGGTAGTGGCCAGGCGCGCGTACAGGCAGCCGATGATCAGCCCCGGGGCCAGGATGCTGGTGCTGAAGAGCACCGTCAGGTAGAGCCGGTAGGCGTCGGGGCTCCAGGTGGGCGCGCAGATGTGCTTGCCGTCCTTGCTGCGGCTCAGCGTGACCATCAGCATCATGGGCAGCGTGAGCAGCAGCGACACCCCCCAGACGGCGCCGGCCGTGGCTTTGCTGAAGCGCCGCGACCGCTGCCGCGTAGCCAGCGGCCTGGTGACGGCCAGGTAGCGCTCGGTGCACATGACGGTCAGCGTGAAGATGCTGGCGTGCATGGTGAGCAGGTCCAGGCTGAGCAGCACGCGGCAGCCCAGCTCGCCGAAGTACCAGTCCTGCGCCACCGACGTGCCCACGATGAAGGGGATGGAGCACAGGTAGAGCAGGTCAGCCAGCGCCAGGCTGGCGATGGAGCCCGACAGGGGCGCGCCGCGGGCGCATCGGCCCGAGCGCCACAGCAGACCCAGCGTGTACACGTTGCCCGCCACGCCGGCCACATACATCACCGACAGCACCGCGCCGAAAGCCCACGCGGCCGCCGCCTCCCCGGGCCCGCTAGACGAGGCATTGCCCGGCCCCCCGACGGCGCTCCAGTTGCGCTCCATGGCGGCCGGGCGCACGCGGAGAGAGTGGGGCAGCCCGGCCGTCTCCCGCCCAACTTGCAGCGCGCCGCGGACCGGGCAGCCAATCGCAGAGCCCGCTTCCAAGCTCTCTCTCTCTCTCTCTCTCTCTCTCTCTCTCTCTCTCTCTCTCTCTCTCTCTCTCTCTCGGGCCCGCCCCTCCCGGCGTCGCCTCTCCCCTCTCCGAGCGCCGCAGTTTCTCTCCGAGGAGTCCCACCCCGGGAAAGGCAGAGCTGCGCAACGACGGGGAAGGCATGCTAATGAATGGACTCGGAGGAGGGCAGGCGCTGTGCAGGTGGTCCGGGCGCTTCCCGCTAAGCGAAAGCAAGCGAAAGTCTCCTGGAGCCATTAAAGACTAACACATTCCATCTGGCGTAAACTTTCCCGGGACTGCAGTCCGAGTCTGCTCCATCAGCTGCATGAAGTGTCAGCCCGGGTTGCGTCTGTGCGCGAGGGGAGGGAGCGCAGGCAGTAAGGTCAGGAAACGCACAGATGGGGATAACGTTGCCACCCGTCCTATATAATACAGGACTGTCCCGTATTTCGATGTAAAATGCTACATCCTGTATTGATAAAAATTTGTCCTGTATTTCAGGGGTCTCTCTCTCCCTCTCTCTGCCAAGTTAGGGGTCTTCTCCAAATGCATGCGTTTGAAAGTTCATTCATTTAAACTCTGGGTAGCCAAGCCCAGACAGATTTACAAATTTCTGTGACCAATTCCAGAGGGGCCATCCTGTTAGGCTGCAATAGATTGTAATGGATTGCTTTGAAGTCACTTCAGCACCAGATAATAAAAAAAATTTGCAACGCCCCACCCTGTATTTTGCCAAAAGAAAGGTGGCAACCCTAGGGCTGATTCACAAAACAGTTGGTTGCTAGCAGGCATTTTGGCATCGGTGAGCCAATTACCGCATGTTGTGGTTTGATAATAATCCATCATGCCAATGGTAGCATTTAACCTCTTGGGTGGATTTTGCTCTTTAGCTCCAGGGTGGCCACCTTAAGCTCAGTTACAGAGAAATGTGCCCCCCCCCCCCGTCTCTTGGTATACTGCCATTTCTGATGTCAGATTTGTGTCTGTTTCTTCTCTTGCGTAGAGACTGGCCTGTCTATCCTACATAGAATGCAGAAGGGCATTATTGGCAATCCTCATAAAAAGCTTCTTGTCAGTGAGGAGGCAAAAATTACAATTCCCCTTGTTTGAAAGTGGAAGAGGAGAGTTGGTTGACCATCCTTAAAGGTTTTAAATCAGGTTGTATGGTCATCTGTCACGTATGATCAAGTTGAGCAGGGGGTTGGACTAGGTGACGCTTGGGATGCCTTCCAATTCTACACTTCTATGAATCTATAAGATACAGGAACTCCAGAGTCCTCATTATGCCAGGAACCGGAGCACTTGGAATGATCCACCCCATTCCCTACAGAGTCCACACATGGCTGGAAGACAGGAGCAGGGTGGAGTTCCACCCCAACCAACAGTGAGTTTTGGTAGCATAAGCTGGGAAAGGGAAGGTTTGCTGCTAAATGCATATCAACCAAAGCAGGATTCACTAGTGGAGAAGGTTGTCAGAAGGAGGACTCTAGAATGGGAGGCTTCTCATTCTTATTTTTACTATCACACACAATCCAACCTGCACCCATGCTAAAAAGTTCTGAAAATGTGAGCCATGAGCAAGCCTCAGGGGAGGAAATACAGCCTGGTGTTGTCATGGGAGAGGACCAAACACCTTCAAGAACACCTTTTCCATCTATATTCTCATTTACATTCTCAGTCTCTATATACTTAAAATAAAGTCTGAGGCTTGCTAGAGAGGAAAGCACACAGAATACTTCTGATGCACACTGGGGTGTCTTTGACCTCCTAGATCAACTACTGGTCAGAGGAGCCCAGACCTCTTGATCTTCAGAGCTCCTTTTGGAGAGACTCTTTGACCTGGTGCAGTTTACATGGAACATTTGAATTTACATGTTCCAATCTGCTAAGGGCTGTATATGTTTTGAGACGTGGCTGATATAATTCTGGGGCATACAAACTGCAACCTATTGTTTGTGCTGGATTGTTCTGTTATTAATAAAAACGCAAAAAACGGTATTGAGGGAAAGGTCTGCATTTCAGGCAAATGTCTGCAATAAAGGCCCTCATTTTTTAAAAAAACATGAAAAGAGCATCAGGAGGAGGAAAGTGGTGCTTAACCCTTTCCCCACAGGCTGTTTTTTTCTGTTAAATGGATGTGGAACCAATAACATGGGTGAAGGAAATAAACTGGAGCTGATTTTGAGCTAAAAATTATTTGGCTGGGAAAGACCCAAGTGCCTTGCTGATCCTCTGCTCAAGACTTCAGTTATTTTGGGCTGCTTTTCTTTACAAACCGCCAGGACTTTGCTGTGTATATTTGTGCGTAGTTTGCCTGCAAAATAACTGACACGTTAAGAGATTCAATCTACTTTCTGAAATAAAGCTGTTCCTGGGCTTCGTGACAATTCAGCCCACACAAATGACACCCAGAAACCTCTAAGTCACTCTACTTCTTCATGCCTTTTGGATTTTGGAACAAAAACTCTCAGACACATGCACACGAAAGCTCATACCAATAACTAACTTCCTTGGTCTCTAAGGTGCTCCTGGAAGGAGAATAAAGGGTTTATGACACGAACAGATTTGCTTCTAGATAAACTGTTAAACATAGAATTTAGTTTTTTCTTCGCTATTTCACTTGGACCTTTTCCTTTTCTTCAGACATCTCTTTGGCAAATCCTTACTACTTGAATGAATTGGAGCAGAATACATAATGTGCACCAATACAGAAAAAACAGATGTCATTCATTGTTTTCCTCAGCTAGCCAGTACATAATGTTCTGAGGATATTCAGAGCTGGATCTATACTGTGGCAGGCAGCATTCAATATTCTATACAGATATACCACAGCCTTCTCGTCCTGAATGGCTGATTATTGGGTGGGTGTGTTTTCCTCATGATATCTATCGCCAGATTTCTACCCCCTTTCTTTTCCCTTGCATTTTACTATTTTTTATTTCTCATCTTTACAGCATCATCCACATATATTTGAAATTGCATTTTTAAGGGTCAGACAACCAGGGCCAGCCCAAAACATTTTGCTGCTTGAATCAAAGGACAAAATGGCGCCCTGCCTTGTTTCCATATACAGTAGCCATCTGGACTGAAAGCTCAATCCTACTTCAACACTTATGAAGGGCTAGAACCCTGTTATATACAGCACCTGAGGGCAGCAGATGAGTGGAGCGGGGGGGGGGCAGGGCGGGGCAGGACACATGTGTAGCACACACAGCTCTGTCCAACAAGAGGAATAGCTGAGAGGCCTAGGTGGAACTGCCAGGGGACTGTTCCCTAGCATCTACTGCATGAAGTAGTCACCTCACTTTGCCTAATTGGTAGGACAGGCCCTGCAGGCTCCTCCCTTGTACATACAAGGATTTTTTTGAGAACAGCTCAGAAACCATGTCTAGTGTTGTGCCCTAGTTCATGCAGACTTCTGCCTTATTAGCTCACCCTTAGCACCACCAGGGTCATTATCAAGTTCATTACACACAACTTCTTCCTGTTTTGGTCCAGTAAGTAGAACAGTGTTTGATAAAACGGTTTGCGGTATCCACCCATGGAGAAAATAGTTTTCATCCTTCAAGCATCCTTCTGTCTTTCTGGTCCAATCTGTATTCCCTGTTGGTAGTCCACCGAGTATCTCACTGTCATCAAATTGGATACAGATTAGGAGCAATTTATAGTCTTTTCCCTTTGTGCACCAAGGATGACCTGCAAGTCAGAAGTAGTCCTTGTGACATTTCATCTAGTCCTTGAATCTGCTAAATCTTCATTAAGTTATGATAATTACTTGCGTACAATTCACACTAATATTTTTTCGTGTTGTGAGAAATATAGACCTTCCACATGGTGACATTATAGCTGTTATCTGGGTTTGTTCATGTAATATAATTGTCTGAATTGTTGTACCTAAGTGCCTGTGCTCCATAATTTTTAAGCCTAGATTCCGAAATGACTCCAAGTTGTTCATGCAGCACAATTGCTTGTGTAGACAGGGTCATTTTGTGCAGAACAATACACTTCCAGGCCCTGGGACATTGAATGGAGAACAGGGCAGCCTTCCAGATACTGAAATTGGCCATTTCCAAGGGTACCTCTTCACCTCTCACAACTTCAGTCACTCTGTTGAAGTAGAGCAGAACCCCCTATCAATCCTACATCTGTTTAGCAATATCAATTCACATCATTATGTAAGCTTATGTAAACAGTACTAATATTTATACTAGGATCTCATCTTGTAATTGCCACTCATGTTCCCATTAGACTATTTGGATAAATCAAATTGCACTGCATTTCCAGGCTTTTCCTTGGTTGCTAATTACACTTATTCAAAAATCATTATGTTGACTTAAAAAGGACTAAACGCCAAATTTTGAATCCCCCCCCAGCCTGTTAGGTTATGTTATTCAAAATGACCACTGCCTGAAGCCATGAGCAGGAAATTTCTAATGATCTTATCACATGTTGCTTAAGTTTTGGCCTTAGGTAACTGTGAATTTATGACAGTTGACAACCATGTGTTTTTCATAATATACTGGAACGTAACAGCTGCCATCGCTTGAGAAATGAATGGGAAATGTGATAAGTACTGTGGCTTGCTCTTTTTTTCTTTTTTTTCTTTTTAAAATGCCATTTTCTGGGCTTGGTAAGTCAGACCTGTTTGTAACAAAATTTGTACATTATGCTTGCCTGTATAAGAAAATATAATTAAAAGTTAAGCCTGTAAAAATAAGATGTAAATACAGTCCTTAGAGTCAGATTTTATTGTCTATGATGGTTTATTAGAATCTGGAAACCCCTGAAGAGTGTGTCAAAAACCACTCAGAGCTCTCTTAAGCAAACTGAAATAGCTGCATTGAACAGATGGATTTAATTAAAGGTTCCTGAAAAATAACTTTGATCCCCATACGGTTTAGATGAATCCTTGGGGGAGATAAAACAATAATTGCTTCCATGCT